AATATCACTTAGTTGACCACAGTTCTTAATATTTTCTGGGAATGCTTAGTTCAAACCATTGATATTCCAAAACATTTCAGATTTACTACACATATAAAGTCTGCCACATTACATCACCTTCGGAAATTCAACATGTAATTCATTTCACATACACAGGTTAACGTATCAAATTATATCCCGCCCGTTGTTGCTACCTTGACGTGGTGATCGGGCTTGCCTATCGTGATGAAGCAACCAAGCTATACTGGCTGGAACAATCGTTCCTCAAGGTCCTACCATGTCAGACTGGTCGGTTGAAGAGAGGTAAGACTAAAACCAACTAACGCAAGGTCCGAAGGCGAAGTCGTACTGCTGACTGTACAGAGGTGTGACAGCAGTAAGGTGTTTCCTTCAGACAACCAGCATGACAGCGATGCTGCTTTCCCACAACGAGTGGTGGGGTTAGAAAAGGTCGACCCTAAAAATGTACACCTCGCCTTATCCCACGGATATCCGTCTCCGGCGGTAAGGTCTCAATAAGTACGGAGCTAACACAAAAATTACCCATAAAAAGGTCGTGTGTGACCGACCTCAAGCAGTTGTCCCTTGGGCACTGCGGTCACGCTCTCAGGTCACTAAGACCACCTTTAATCTAATTTCCTTTTCAGATACCTCCAGAACAACCCTTCCACGGTGTGGGCAACCGGGAAGTGATAATCGCCCTCATACCTCTAACAACACTCAAGACCACTGTATTCATAATCAACCTCACTCTTCAATTCCTATTATTCCTCCTACATCAACTTCAAACTCTAAACTTCTTTTTTCAGCTTCCCCCTCAAGTGTCACCATAGCCAACGATTCTAGTGCTCAAAACACTGTCCCAAGTCTACTGAAACCTCGCTCCAAACTACACATTGGAGCCTTCAACGTACGCACCCTGTGTCAAATCTGTCAGCAGGCTACCTTGGCTAAAACCCTAGAATCTCGTACCATTGATGTATGCTGTGTCCCCGAAACACGCATACAGGATCCCAGTGTGGTCATTCACTTGACCTCACCTCGGCAAAACGGAGAGCCAACGAGATACACCCTCCGTGTATCTGGTGACCCGATGGCCAGCTCTCGTGGACTGGCAGGAGTAGGGATAGCACTAAGCATGAGGGCTGAACAAGCACTTTTAGAGTGGATCCCCATCAACAGTCATCTATGTGCGGTCCGGCTAAACGGCTCCGTAAGAACTCGGAAGGATAGGGACACACGTCGTTGCCTTTTTGTCGTTTCTGCCTACGCTCCCACTGACTGCAGCTCAGATGAATTTTACAGAAAGCTGTCCGAACTTCTTCAGAAAGCTAAACGCTCAGACATAGTATTCGTAGCAGGTGACTTTAATGCTCAGATAGGCAGTTTAAACCAAACAGAAAGGCATTTATGTGGATATTTTAGTATTCAGACACAGCGAACAGATAATGGTGATCGTCTGCTGCAACTGTGCTCAGACAATCGTTTATTTTTAGCAAACACAAATTCTAAGCATAAGGAGAGACATCGACTAACATGGCGACCCCCCTACACCAAACCAACGATGGACTCAAATAGACCATATTGCCATCAGTCATCGTTGGAGAGGGTCGGTACAAGATTGTCGCTCATTCTGGAGTACCTGCTTGGATTCCGACCACACCCTAATACGGGCACGCATCTGCTTGCGCCTCACTGGACGCAAAAAAGGCACATTAAAAAGACCCGTTAGAACTGAGTTGAGTAACGAGAAAACCAAAAGTAGGTTCCAGGAACAACTGAGGTCACACTTAGATAGTTCTGAAGACGAGGCTGACCCAGATGTTGCTTGGAAAGGCATACAATCAGCTGTGGAAACAGCAGTGACATCTATTAGAGACTTGAACCACAGAGTTACAAAGAACCAGTGGATTTCTTCAAGGTCTATCACACTGATGGATTCTCGCAAACTCGTCCCATCAGGTTCTGAACATGATGAAAAGTGTAAAGAAATCAGATCTAGGTTAAGAAAAAGTCTAAGGTACGACCGTGAGCAGTGGTGGGTAACGAAAGCACAAGAGATGGAAAAGGCGGCCACTATAGGGAACACAAAGCAGCTTTACAGACTAATAAAAGAAACTGGAACTAATAAGTCAAGTGTAAGTGAGATTATTTCGGAAAAAGACGATACTCTCATCTGCTCCCAGTCCAGATGTTTAGAACGATGTGGGGAACATTTCAACTGGCCTTCAGCTACTCTACAACTACCCTCCATTCCCAGACAGTGTGAATGGAACATTGAAGTAGTTCCCCCAACTCTAGCAGAGGTTCAAAAGGCTACAGTTAATCTGAAACGAGGAAGAGCAGCTGGTCCAGATGGATTGGCTCCAGAAGTCTCTAAGGATGGTGGTCCAATTTTAGCGATTAGGTTGACTAATATTTTAGCTAAGATCTGGGAATTAGACGTTATCCCATCTGACTGGTCGCAATCACTTGTCGTCCCAATATATAATAGAGGGTTAAAATCATCCTGTGACAACCACAGAGGGATTAGTTTAACTAATATAATATCTAAAATACTAGTCTCAATAATAATCAGACGCCTAACTAAGACTCGTGAACTGCAAACACGAGAAAACCAAGCTGGCTTCAGACCTGGTCGTGGCTGCATCGACCACATATTCACCATTCGTCAGGTTCTAGAACACAGGCATACTTATCGACGTCCGACGATGGTGGTCTTTCTTGACTTAAAAGCAGCATTTGACTCGGTAGACCGCGAGATTCTGTGGCAGTGTCTGTCGTTTGAAGGCGTACCCCAGAAGTACATAAACCCTGTGAAGGCTCTTTACTCGAACACTACTAGTCGAGTCAGAGCTTATGGCGAACTGTCATCTACTTTTGCAACCTCAAGCGGTGTCCGTCAAGGCTGTCCACTTTCCCCATTTTTGTTTAACTTCATCACAGACCTACTAATGGAAATAACATTTTCGTCGAATGAATGCTCGAGTATTGCTTTCCTACCAGGAGGTCCACTTATCGACTTAGAATACGCAGATGGCATAGTCCTGTTTGGTGAAGACACTGATAAAATGCAAAGTCTTCTGGTAGCACTAAGCAACAATGCCAGAATGTTTGGAATGCGCTTCTCTCCCTCTAAATGCAAGTTGTTGCTTCAGGACTGGTCTGTGTCAACAACTGGATTAAGGATAGAGAGTGAAGTAGTCGAACACGTTGACAACTTCACTTATCTTGGAAGTCTGATCAGCCCTAATGGGTTGGTATCGGACGAAATCTCAGCACGGATTCGAAAAGCTCGTTTGGCTTTTGCCAACTTACGTCACCTGTGGCGAAGGCGAGATATCCGTCTATCAATAAAAGGACGAGTATACTGCGCGGCGGTCCGTTTTGTCTTACTTTACGGCAGCGAAACATGGCCTTTAAGAGTAGAAGACACTCGTAAGCTACTAATATTTGACCACAGATGCCTTAGAAATATTGCTGGCGTCTGCTGGGATCACTGGGTAAGTAAAAGTGAGGTTAGACGAAGGGTATTAGGAAAGGATGGTAAATCAGTTGATGAGGTTATGAATCTTCATCGACTGAGATGGTTGGGCCACGTGTTACGTATGCCTGAACACCGATTACCACGACGTGCAATGCTATCCGGTATTAGAAATGGTTGGAAGAAAGTTAGGGACGGCCAAACCAAAACGTGGCATCAGTGCTTGAAGACACTAACCTCTAGTCTGAGCCATGTTGGTAGATGTAGACTACTTGGTTGGGGTCTGCGTGACTTTCGTAACCAATGGTTGGAGACTCTTGGTGACATGACTCAGAATCGATCACAATGGCGTCGGTGTATACACTCCCTGTCTTCCCTTAAACTAAGAGATTAAAATCGCTTCATATCTTTCTTTCTACGAACCAATTCTTTCTTCTTGTATTATATCTCTATATGCAATCTTTCTCTTATATATTACCACCACTGTTATGAATCCGGTGTTCATCTTGTTGTGCTGATGCGGTATGGCAACCTGGACCGATGCACATATGTGCCTGGTCCTACGTTGTAGCTGACTGACTGACTGATCAAATTATATATGCGGCAAATTTAGAATCCATGACTCATTGGTTAGGAGCCAGGTGTTTCAACCAATGCTTCATAGTTATAACCCAGAAAACACTTAGGAAAGCCTCTCAAACACGTAACTGGTTTTAAACCTAAAAAAGCATACTTTTGTTTGAAGCTCAGTAAGGATTACTTAATCAGTGTGTCAATCTAGGTTCACTTGTTTTGTATCTTGGGCATGTTTTATGGATGCGGTCCTATATGCCTTTACTTCGTGCATTATTTGCTAGCCCGGAACTAAGTGGAAAACGTAGAGTTGACAATTTTATGTCAGCTATAGATGACTGGGTTGTAGCTGGTCATCAAGACCCAGCGATTCAGAATCTTACAGAATACAGGTGTTAGCAAATTAATACACCTTCAGACACGGAATAAAATAAAAGCTAATATCGATCTTTTTGTGGCTTTTGCGAAATGTTTCGTAAAAGATGGAACTGCTTAACTGAAAGTAACTGTAGTTTTTAAACACAATTGTTTTTCGCATTTATTTATTCGTTACATGACGATTCGCTTTTTTACTTCACAACAATTTACATTCTATTCAGGGTATTCTTATGAACCTGTACTGTACCAAAATATTTTTCTTAGAAATAAAGGAAAATGACACTGACAACCGTGAGGGAGAAAAACTGCAGCTACTTAAAGAAAGTATATTGTGAGCAGATCACCAAGGAAAATAATTGAATTATGAACTTATTTAACGAATATAAATCTGTGAATCTAGTTTTCTTCATATGTACCAGTTTTACGTACATTTAATATTCATAACAAACATGTTACCAACAAACCTATGTTAAAACATAAGTGAAGCTGTGAATCAACAACTCAAAGTATATTAGGAGATATGGAATAATTAATTGTCTGTACATAATATCTTAGGTAAAGTGGATTAATCATGTTGGTCTTCATCCTCTCCAGGGCACTGTTCTAAAAGTTCAGATTGATTTTGGTACTGTAGGCTACACCAAAAGCAATAATTATGTCGACTTCGTAAATAATTCAAAAGTTGTATGAAATTTCTTTGAACCTATAAAATCAAAATAATAGTTAATTTTGAATGATGCAGAGTGCGATAGAATAATTGTTCTGACATGTAACTAATATTTGCTCTGCATTATTATTGAAGGAAAACTTTTTCTTACAGCAATAAACTTGAGGCTTCACGTAAGAAAAATACACTTCAGTTATCCTTTGATTCAGTATTCTGTGAATGAGCGATACAATACAAATGTACAGTATGGTTATCATGGGTAAATAAAATAGAGAAAGAAACTACATATACTTACAGAAGTGTAGTCACAATTCGCATGTTTCGAGTCCAGTTTGGCTAAATCATTATCTGCAAAGTCTTCGTTCACATCATCTTCCTGAAGCAATACAGTACTCACAGGAATTCTGTCTTTACCAGACTTGAAACCATTCGAACTGACTGATCCATATTTACCATTATCAGCGACTTCAGTTGGAACAAGATCAATAGGTGGCCAGAATGATTCGTGAACTGGAGTTTCAATAAGTTCTTTCAAATCCAGATCTTGACATATCCGACGGGCAACATCCAGTTGTCGGTTCAAACGGTTCTGTCGAAATCTCACGGCCATAGTGCTTCGGAATTCATCTTTGTAAGCCATTTGTATTTGTTGTTTGAGGTTTTCCCTAAATATCATACGTTCGTTTTTTTCCGACGCGAAACCGAGGCCTTCACGACCCTGAGGGATTTCAATAGAAACAGGATCAGCTATCCCAGTAGCTAAAATTTACAAACAAAGATGTATAGGAACAGAGAGTGAAAGAGATGTTTCTACTTGTAGACGTAAAGCACCATTTACTTTCCCATTAGCTTAGTTCCTACATTGTTGAATACAGTAACAAGATTTTCAAAAATTAATCTTTAATGGTCAAAAAATGTGTAAGCAAATAAGGCTGAATGAATTGGTATAATCTCGTGAACTAGTTTTGTTTGCACGTAGCATTGTACATCCTTCAAACTCAAAGATACGGATTTGTGCTATCACGTTTCTACATTTCTACCCGTTTATTTAAAATTACCGTTCAATTTACACTGATACATAGATAAAGAACATAAATAATAAAATTCGATATTTATTCATTCCCTATGACAAAAGAAGTATTATTTTGGATGAAAGTCGAGGAGGCGATTTAGAGGGTATAATAAAGTGTAATTAGTATTTCATAAAAATAAAATGAACCATAAGTTTTATGATTATGAATCGCTCTTGTTTACGGCTGACTACGTAGTTCTCAAGATATTTATCAGAAACAAAGTAGATACTTCTGACTTTTTTTTTAGCAAAAACTTTACTGTCAAAAGCCAATTCATCGCACATGGGTGATTATAGTCTGGTCTACCAAAATCCTATATTCCATACTCTGTAAGATAAAGTATCTTTAGCAAAACTTTCATAAGTTAATTTTATTAGGAAATTACCACTCGGTGTTACTTGCTTAGAACTGATTGACTAGAAATTTTCAGTAATATCTCACGCTATAACTTAGCGTAAAATGTGTCTCTGCGATTATCCAAGTAATTTCAAGTTATGAAAACGAGTGTGAAACTGCTGTATGTTACATACCATTTTTTCCCAAACCTTTACCCGGAACGTATCCCATTTTTGAAAGTAGACTGAAACCTTTATTTTCAGGCCCAACTTTTTTCTTTAAACCTTCCTTGAGGTGATGGATCTCCCTTTCCGACTTGGAAAGACATTTGTTTTTCCGTCGATTCGCCTCCACTGTACGCTGTCGTTGGGCATCTCGTGATATAAATAATCCCGGTTTTACATCTTCTCTAAAAATTTATGAAGTGAGAGTAAAACCTTACATTTCATTCAAAATAGCATCAGACATGTAGTCAACTTCATCATCCATCCCAACACTTCCAAATTCTATTTATATTTGAAAAACTGAAGTCATCACCTTTATCTAGAATTGAGGCTGAAAATAAAATTCTATCATGAACAAGAAAAAAAGGGACTATGTTGAAATACTTGAAAGTCACATTTAGTGGACATCATATCTTGAAAGAATTTATTGAAAATGTGATATTTATACAGTATAAAAAGTTCCAAGGCCTTTACCGTATGCTTTACTTGGGTGGTTTTTATTAGAACAATATTGGAATATTAGTTGTTCCTTATCAATGGTGCACAAAAATGATCAGGGAAGGAAGGGATTTAAATTTATTACAAATCTCCATCGAATACTCACATTTAAGTCATTAGTGAACACGCTTATAAAACCGCAGTACGACGGATGTTGAGAAAATACTTTTTCGTGTTTTTCGATAACACTCCAACATATCAAAACGAAAAATGCATCGTAGTTGTTACATTCAACAATAGCATAGAGAAGAGATGAAATGACGGCGTACAGTACAAAGCCTCCAATATATATGTAAGTTATACAGTTGACCTCTCCGAGTTGAGGATGTTAAGAGACTCTGTGTTTGATCACTGATGTCCTCAAACTATTGTTGACGTTGAATGGCAACGCTGCTAGTAATGGGGACGTTTGACGCGTGTTCAGACACAATTACAAGGATTAGAATAGTTACACGATCGTGAAACACTCCAGTGAATCGAATATGTAGCAGGAATGTCGTCACAGCGGGTTCCACATCGTTATTATTTCCCGACACAAACTGGTTGAAAAAGCAGAAAAGTGGTCAATGTATGACATGATGTTGTGGCATGAAAGCTGCGCAAAACTGGCATCTATTGTGCCTTGACAACTACGTACTGGTTTGAGACGTTATTAGACATGACTTATAATAAAAGCCAATAGAATCCATGTAGTTTTCTGACTGTCTTCGTATAAATGGGGACTCAAACTCAAATAATCCTTTCCGGTATTTTTGTGTGAACCGGTTCTCCCATCTTTTTTTACTAGCATTCCAAGTTTTTATCTATTTTTGTGCTGTTTTTATTGTATGGCGTATATATATACTGGTGCTCCTTTACAAAAACATTTCTTCAAACAAGTGAATGACATGGTTGGTGCCATATTTTTACAAATCAAATATAATGCCTTGGTGATTATGCGTTACATTATTCACCACAGTATCCCCAAGGCAAATTAAGATCATTTGGCTCCCAATACATAAACCTAGGGTAAGCAACTACTACAGTATGAATTTTCTTATATAATTTACTGAATTCGGTCCATATTAATTACAAGTGTAGCTCTACAGGAATGTTCGAACATTCATTGGAGGATAGGGCTTAACCATTGAGTAGAGATCGGAATGTCACACGAAGCAGCGTTCTCTATTTCGAATAATTTACCGACCCTGATTCTCAAATGAAGCCTTATTCTCACTCTACCAAGTTTAACTACTGCTCAAGTGGTTGTAGACGAAATAGAAGCTTATGTTTAACTGGCTTGAGTATCTAGCAGCAGTGGATCACCATCGAACTGAAGTTTATCCAAATGCTGGAAAAGACTTACAGATCATAACGAAACATCAATGAGTCATTAGAAATATATCAAACTTTGCTCTCGAAAGACTCATGGAAAGTTGTTCCGACTACAACAGACGGCACACAAGCCAGCACGTAACTAAATTACAGTCGGCTGTGTTGTGTCTAACCTCTACAAAGCGCTCCTAAAGTTCGTATTGAGACTGCGAAAAAGCAAGCATTTCGTAGGAAGCCCACGAAGTTCTTGAAAATCAGTGGGGAATTCCACGATTAGCGACAAAAGTCGAAAGCTTTGATATGATATACTTCGTGGAGATCATTTCTACTTTTAAAAAATATAAATCACAAGACAACTAGATATCGCTAACAATATCAAACGTTAATAGTTTTGTCCCTGAGTTTCAACTTATTGTAATCAGACATAGAAACGTGAAAACCCTAGATTTTATAAGAACCCAAGCAACCAATAAAGGGGTAATAAAAAAGAAGTGTACGAAAACACAGATGTAAGGAAAAGTCTGTTTTTCCCTTTTAATTCGGTTATTTAGGTGGAAGGTCGATTTTCTCCACCTACGTCATATATTCTAAAGAAATTTGAAGACAAATATACGCAACGCACACTACTTGAACATACCGCTTTCGGTTCTTAAATTTTTGTAGACTTCTACAAAATAGCATACTGTTTAATAAAAATTAAAGTCAACTATCGTTAAAACATGTAGGAAAATGCAGGAACGGTGTTTTTTCAGATGCATGTATCCGAACTTTGTTGTTTGTTTGTCTAAATGGTTGTGACATGTTTGGAGGTCATGACATATAGCTTACGAGATGCGAGTGACTGGCATGCCTTCTGTTTTTCATGTTCATCATCATTTATTGTCTTGTTTGTCCTGTGAGATGAATTCAGTCAAATTCAGCGAGAGAGCTCGTAGATTTAATGTAGATGTGGACCTGTCAATCGTCCTTGGTTTTTATGCCTATACTTATAACAGACGTTAGAATGAAATGCGAATAGCTTTCATGAAAAGATAATGGTGAGTCTATAGTTTATGTAAGACCTTTGAGTGACTTCAAAGGGACTTTGAGAGTGTCCACTTAATAACCAGGACCAAATGGATGTCATGAACTTGTGTGAGGAATTAGAATTATAATTTACGGTTGATGATTAAGCCTAGGGATTAGATTTTGGGTCTTCATCACGAACTAACATTAGCTGCAGTGCCAAGACTCTCTATCAAAAATGGATGAATGAGCTTCGCAGCGAAGTTCAAGATCTGTTGTCTAATATATGATTGGTTTGTTGATGTTAATGTCCTCATTATCTGACTCCAATAAATAATATCCCGTAAACTGAGTATTTAATGCAGGCTAAATCTTCTGGTAGAATTATGGATTTTACGCGAGATTATTCAAAAACCTGAACACCAGTTGTAGAGATAATTTATTGTTAATGATCAATAAAAATCCGCAAGCGTACAACGAGCAAGCACACAATGAAACAAAGTATAATGATGCTCAGTGGAGATGGCTGGTAATCCGACTCATTCTTAGTCAGGCGTTAATCAATATTTATAGGCAGACAAAAATAAGCTACAGACATGCAATGAGTCATGGGATATAATGTGTGCACACATATACGCTCATATAAAAACAGTGAAGAATGATAAGCGAATAATTAACAAGGTCAACGTATGACTCAAGTAGAATGGATAAATCGGTTTGTCCGGAAACTAGAATAAGGTATATGGGCTTAAAATAATGACCGACACTACAGGTTCGTCCATAAATTATAGTCTCACCCTTCTGGATGATAATAGTATAAGTAAGAAGTGAATTCGTTTACATATTTCTTTCAAGATAACTTGACGTTAATGTGTGCTCTTGGAAGTTTGTAAACTTTAAAGAGCAGATCAAGAAGATATTCATGTATTTAATGACAAAAGCCTGTCTGAGCATCAGAGATGCTGATTGGGTTCTGAATGATTTAAAATATTTTGTTCGGAACTTACCGAGTAGCATCAGAAGTGTTCTGTGGACGTGCACTAGTGTCCGACTGAATTTCATCGGCCGTAGTGTTTCTACCATATGGGATCGAAAACCAATCTGCTAAGATATGTTGAACTTTGGTTTTTGTTACTTGTAATCTTGATGCCTTCGATTTGTGTATTAGTGTAGATAAACGTTTTTTTTAAAGCAGCTCCAGTCAACATTTATGGCCTGTATTTGGACGCATCGTCGCCCCAAGGTTCAGTGACGTGTTCATGATAGGTATTTATGGAGTAATACTATGCCGGTAGAATTCAACAAAATATCCGCGGACACCATTTCTTAAATAAAAGAAATGACTGACTAGGTTCTGCTTAGTGTTAAGTTCAATAGATACATAGCTACTAAATTGGCCGCTGTAGCATGTGACGCATCTAGTCGTCCCGATGTTAGATACACAGTTATTCACAATGGAAAGGCGGGTTGCTACTGGTGTATTACAGTCGGTGGACAGCTTGACAGAAAGATGATTTTTCTAAATGGTGAATATACGTCGCGAATTGATGACCGCTTTCATCATCAAATTAAATTAATTCACCATCATGGCTATCCCATTTTGGAAGTGCGTTCAAATAATCTGATCCCAACTTTTGCATTTCACTCGAGTGAAGTCGGATGTGAGAGAGTTGGGCTGTATTTATGGGAAAGTCAGTCAGCAACAACGTAGAACTTCATACGTACGTACATCAGTTCGAGTTGTCACACCACATTAGCACAGAGATGCAGTTGTCGATCCAAATTCCGTAATGGTAGAGGTAATAAGAGTATAAGCAGTAATTGAGAAGAGTATGATTTGAAGACTTATAGGAAAATATCCAAACATAAACTCCGCCTGGAGTCCCTCCGGGGGCTACTGCCGGTCCCAAGCCCGGATAAACGAGGAGGGTTGGGCATGGGGTTAGCGTCCCCATCCTGTAGAAAACTAACCCGCTAAAAAAAGCTAACCAGAAAAACTTAGGGTGATCTTATCCGCCACGCAACCATGTAAACTTAATGTATCGCACACTGTCATTTGTGCGTTCAAGTAACCACATATTTTGTGATTTCATAATGTATTTTTAATTAAATAACTAGATTATGTAGCTGATTTCGCTCTTTTTTAATTTTTATTCGCCACGTCCGACTGCGTTACACAGCACGTCCATTGCACGCTGGGATGATATCTCAAGTCATAGTGAGTTTATTCACATAGTTGATTGTTTCCAGATAGACTGTCAGTGCATGATTTTACTGAAGAAAGGTTTGTTGTACTGTAAACTATGTTCTTATGAACAACTGCCTGTTGTTTTCAGTATCAAAGCAATATATATTTCCTTTGTCTTGTGTTAGATAAGTTCAACTGGCCTATATTTCGTGTTTTGGTTTTATCGTCTTAATTATATCCATTTAACTACTTTAAGCAAC